GGGGAGGAAACCTTTAGGAACTAGAGGAAGGTTGTATTTCTCATCATTGTGATGAGTGACTGGCTCATCTCCTCCCCGAGACCCCTCTGCAAGGGGATCTCCAGTGGCCTACTAATGGGCTTTGGATCTCCACTCCGCACTTAGTATTTTTTAACCTAACTTCGTTTCCTTTGAAAATGGCCGGCCAGAAGATGGGCAGCTGAACTGTATCTAGGAATAATTTAGACACAGAGCAGAAATTAGAGGTGACAGAATGTTCTGTTACTGAAAGTCTGAATCAGGGGTGTGTGTGGTGGGGGGTGGGAGGGTGGCACACAATAAAAGCAAGACAGCTGGATGGGATAGTCACACACTGCTTGCTGGGGTGATACAAGTGTTCATATGGAAATACTTGTCTTCCCTTGATGCCCTAGAGCATTTCTGCCCAGTCTCCGCTCCAATTCGAGTGCTTTGATCCATTTCATGCAAGAGGAGGCCTGTTGTTTAAGGTGCTGTGAAGGGCTTCAAGGAAACACAAGGCTTTGTCTCTGGGGAGCATCCTATCAACTCACAGGTAGTCCTAGGACATTCCAGCCATTGTAGAAGGTGCTCTGGGAGTTTGAAAGAGGCAGAGACCATCTGTTTGCAAAAATCAGGAAAGACTTCGTAAAGAATGTAACATTTGAACTTGGTGTTGAAGGACTGGGCAAAACATTTCTGGGGACCAAGTAGTGGTGTGGAAAACACAGAAAGTAAGGTCCACTAGAGACTGAATTCATACCCACCCACCCACCCAAAGAGGGTCTCTCTGTGCTGTGCCGCCTACCTTTGGTTGAGTTTTCATAGACTGTTCATTTGACGTGGGAAAGGGATTCCTTACCTGCAGCCAACAGGTAAGAAGAGGCAGTGTGGACTAACAGAAACCATGATAATGACAGAAACTGACACTGGGAGAAATTTACAAACAAACACACACCCCCCCACCCACCCACCCCACCCCCAAGCTCTTGGCTTCCATCGGTGGTAGAGAAAACCTATGGAGGTTTTCTTGTAGTTGGACCACTGGAGAGAGGCAGTGCCTCTCGACTCACAATGGAGCTGCCTCTACCGTTCCTCCAGGACCTTGGGGAGAGCAGTGACCCCCCAAACAACCTGACCCCCCCTTGCTGCATTCAGCCCTAGGAGGGTCAGTGGTCAGAGTGCCCCGGACAGGTCCAGTCCAAGTAGCTACGTGATATGGTGCAGTTCCTGGGCTCGCACTTAGCCAAACGAGCAGATTCTAATGAGACATAAATATGCCACAAAAAAACAATGCCAAATGTAGCGATCAATACATGCCCTCCCTTCCAAAGCAACGCCCAAGGACCACTTTGTTAAGACAATCACTTGCCTACATGTAAGTGGCAATTTAAGGAAACTTACCATTAGGAACAATATTTTTCTTAATTTTAGAAGCTGCGATCCAAATTTATCTTGTTAAAATTAGATTTGTCCGTGCTCTCAGAAAGTTATTAAAGTGATGAGAAAAGAGATCATAATAAATTCTCGTTCTATTTGTAGAATCATTTCCCCGGATTTAATGGGATCATCTTGGCCTGATTTTAGTTTGAAGGTGACCTTCCTTGGTGTCCTGCCTCTGAGCTTGGCAGTGAATGGCAAGTTGGGCCTCGACTCCAGAGTCTCAGGGGAAACATCTGGAGTTGGCTGCATCGCAGCACTTGTTATGGGAGGGAGTCTTTGTCGACTCTGGTACCCTGAATGTCTTTAAGGTTTGGGCCTGACCTGTCCGACGGAGAGGGACCGTGTCACCTTTCAGAATGGCAGCTGTCTTTGTCCCTTGCACGGGTCTTGCGTCACAGTTTCCAGTGTGGCTCCTGGGGGAAGTGCACCTCTTCCTGGGCAGATGTGTCACTTTCCTCAAGCGCACGTCCTGTGGATGTGAGTGTGGATCTGGCCCCAACGTGATACATCCCGGTCGTGTCCAAAGAGAGAACCAGAGAGACATTGAATCCTGGATTTATCTTCATAGCTGTCAGCTCTCAAAGGAGAGCTGCAGGTGCCTGGGTGGTACCGCTGTCCCATAGCCAGTCATCAGCACAATGAAAATTAAGGATCCCATGCTGGTCGGATGAAAGAGCTGGATAGATTTGGGCTGCTAAACTGAAGCCCTCATTTATTTTTTTCTTCAAGTGCAAAGGAATTACTGGAAGGTTCTTCTCCTGCCTCCCTTTCCACTCAAAAGGGATGAAACTTTGTGAGCTCAATCCTTGCTGAAAACTGTGTCCCTTGTAAATGATGAGGGTGGACATTTTTATGTGTGTGTGTGTATGTGTGAGAGCTTTTGAATTTAATTGTTTAGAAAATAATGAGAGAGATTAATTAAGTTCACTCAAGAGTGGGTCCATTTGATGTGCAAACTGTAGATTCAGTCATACGAAGTTTCCTAAGAATGGAGTTGGACCCACAGCTCTTCTTAAAAGAGATACTAAAACAGGCTTAGGCCTTAGCACGTCCTACCCAAGTAAATGTACTATGGCAAATTCTGATCCCCTCGAGCACTCCAACAGGAAGTTCTGGGAGCCTCTGCGACATCCCGAGATGGGGGGCCTCTCCATTGCCACGTTGTCTTGGCTCGCCATAGAAAAAGCAGACCAGACGCAGGCAGAGCAATTCTACATGCAGGAATATTGCCCTCTACTATAGCATCTGCTCAGGAGCCCACCACCCAGAGTGCTTCCCAGACTTGGGAACGGGAGTGCCACCTCCATTCTTTTCTCCCTTTTCCCACCCAATACTGTGCCAAGGATCATGGCAGGGGTGGGCTTGGGGCAGTCATGAAAAAAATAGGTTTGGTCAAAATACCAAAGATTGTTGTGCTATGGAGCTCGAAGTGAGCGGTTGTGTTAGTCTGAGTTGGCCAGAGAAACAAACTCATAGTCACTCGTGTGTATATATAGCTTTATATACAAGAGCAGCTGAATACTGAGAAAACCTCCCATCCCAGTCCAGATCAAACCCATAAGTCTGGTATTAGCCCATATGACTGATACCAATCTATAAAGTCCTCTTCAGACTCAACAAAACACATGCAATGCCACCAAATGCAGGAAGATCACAGTGGGTGGAAGGTCTTGTGGATCCAGTGGTGGTGTAAGCATCTTAGCACAGGCAGGGGTCTCCACATGGCTACTCCAGCTCCAGAGCTCTAGTGTAGCTCCATGTGTCTTGTCAACAGAAATGTCTCCCAGAGAGTGAGCCCATGCCCCACCTCCAGCCTGCTATTTATCTCCTTAGTGCCTCCAAATGAGGTCATCAAACTGTGACCTGATTGACAGGCTAACCTCCACCCCTTCACTGGTAAGTCTCACATTGATGACAGGTTATGTAACTACCACAGCAGGCCTGTTTAGGTGGGGTCCCTTCCACATCTGTAGTGTTAAATCCGGTGCTCTGACAAAAGCAAAAGTCCAAAGAAGAGAAGATGTGTTGGACAGGGCGAGTTGATTCCATGTAGACAGTTAGTGAGGCAGCCATTGTTTTGATGTGGAACACTTAAAAGATTCCATGTGTCTTAAAAAGGACCCCAGTCTTGTAGCCCTGTGGAGATGAGTCTCCAGAGGGATGTTAGTGATAACACAAAATTTGGCCTCTCTCCAAGTAAATACCATTATCTGTGCTGACTCGGTTGCCTGAAATTTGGGCCTATTTCATAAGAATAGAAGCAATCCCAAAGGACATCTTCCTTAACCCTTTGCCTCAAGGTAAGGTCATGTGGAATGCGTCCAGGTCACCTAGAGTCCCTGGGCTTCCCACCTCTGCGTCTGTTTACCATGTATCAGCTTTGACTCACTGGTGCCCTAGCCCAAGTGCACTGGATGCATGTTTATGAAGCAGCCTCCTGGCAGTGCTTTAT